TAAAAAAAAATTTTTTTTTAGCTGGGGCCGTAAAAAAAAACCAGACATTTCGGAAGAGAAGCGGGGGGGCCCCCCCCCCCCCCCTTGCAAACACAACTAGCGTTTCATCTTGGAAAACGGGAGGGGCTTGGCAGAAAGTCGAAGAAAGGAGGGGAGCGCCTGGCTTGGGCCCCCCTCCCCGGACGCTCGGCTGCCAGAGGACCTGAAAGGGAGCTGCCTACGCCCCAAACCTGGATGGCGAGAAAGGGGCAGCACACAATGGCTTTTTCTTTACATTTTTCTTTGCATCGTCGGCTCCGGAGCCTAACGTTTCGACCTCTCCTTTCCCGGTCTCTGCTCCCCGCCTCCCAGCTCGCTCGCTCTCTCGCGCTCCCCCGCGTCCTCCACCGTCACCCCGGATTCAGCGCCCGACCCTCCGCCTCCAGCCCCGCCTCGGCCGCCGCCGGGTTTCACCGGCGGCAGAGTGAAATCTGCATGGTGACCGCCCCCTCGGAGATCATTGGTGCAGCCCCTGGCCGTCACGGCCGATGATTGGTGGGCCGTTCGGGATTATTTGCATGCCGGCCGCAGCCTGGTGCCCAGCTGTGCGGGCGGCAGGCGCGGCGCAGAAGTTTGCCGAGCGCTCTCCCGCCGGCTGGTCCCGGACTCGCGCTGCGCCCTGCGCCGCCTCTTCTGCCGCCGCCGCCGCCCTGTTGTCTCGGGATTCCTCCTCCGTGGAGGGCAGACGCTCTGCTTGTGGCAGGTTGAGGTGGGCAAGTAGGAGAGCCAGGGAGCGGCGGCGGGGGGCCGTTCCAGTGACAGTGTCGCGTCGGGACGCCGGGCGCGGGGGCTTCGGCTTGCCCCGATCCTCGTCAACCTTCCCGCGGCCGCCGGGCGGGCGATGCGGCCGCCAAGCCCCGCCGCGCAGAGAGGAAGAAGGGAGCCCCGGAGAGCCTAGAGCTTGTTTCTGTCCACTTGGGGAAGGGGGCATGGAGTTGTGATCGCCCCTCGCAAGGCGAGGCCACCCCCGGCAGGCTCCCCATGGCCGGGACGTACAGCTCCACTCTGAAGACGCTGGAGGACTTGACCTTGGACTCCGGGTATGGGGCCGGAGACTCGTGCCGCTCGCTCAGCCTCTCGTCCTCCAAGTCCAACTCGCAGGCGCTCAACTCTTCGGCGCAGCAGCACCGCGGGGCGGCCTGGTGGTGCTACTCCGGCTCCATGAACAGCCGCCACAACAGCTGGGACACGGTGAACACGGTGCTCCCCGAAGACCCCGAGGTGGCCGACCTCTTCTCGCGCTGCCCGCGGCTTCCCGAGCTGGAGGAGTTCCCCTGGACCGAGGGAGACGTGGCCCGGGTGCTCCGCAAAGGCGCCGGCGGCCGGCGGCTGCCCCTGTTCTCCGCCGAGGCGGTGAGGCGCCTGGCCGGGCTGCTCCGCAGGGCGCTCATCCGCGTGGCCCGTGAGGCGCAGCGCCTGAGCGTGCTGCACGCCAAGTGCACCCGCTTCGAGGTGCAGAGCGCCGTGCGCCTGGTGCACAGCTGGGCGCTGGCCGAGAGCTGCGCGCTGGCCGCTGTCAAGGCGCTGTCCCTGTACAGCATGAGCGCCGGCAACGGGCTGCGCCGGGGCAAGTCGGCGCGCTGTGGCCTCACCTTCTCGGTGGGCCGCTTCTTCCGCTGGATGGTGGACACCCGCATCTCCGTGCGCATCCACGAGTACGCGGCCATCTCGCTCACCGCCTGCATGGAGAACCTGGTGGAGGAGATCCGGGCCAGGGTACTGGCCAGCCAGAGCCCCGACGGCGGAGGGGCCGGAGGCGGGGAGGTGTCCGCTGAGGCCCTGGAGATGGTCATCAACAACGACGCCGAGCTCTGGGGAGTCCTGCAGCCCTACGAGCATCTCATCTGCGGCAAGAACGCCAATGGTAAGAGCGCGGGCCTCCCACCGACGGAAGGGGTGGGAGCGAAATCTCGCCCTGGACTACCCGGGGACGGAATTTACTAGGACGAAGCTGGTGGGTGTGCCAGGACTCTGGGAGAAAGCGTTTAGTCTGAGTCGAGGAGTTCATTAGATGGCTCTTGCTGGAGCTTGTTCTAAGGGCGACTGGCTACCTTTTGGAAGCTAAAGTCGCAGTTGATCTTCTTCCTCCTGTTCTGTGTGGAATTGTGACTGTCAGGGGCTGTTCACTGATTGGGTGAGATTTGAGCCTCTTGACCAAGCCATTCCTGAACCTCTCTTGAAATGGAGATCACTGCTCTGCCGCTCTTTGCCTCTGCCTTGCTTGACTGGGTCTCTAGTTGGCGTCTTTCCTCCAACAGCTGAGCAGATTGACTGTGGTTCTGCCCCTGGATTTTTTTTCAGCCCAACATCAGTAGCCAAAGGTTTCGAACTCCAAGACCTGAGCCTTGGACATGTGGGATGGGTGGAGGGAAGTAGGAAGCCCACGGCCTGGTGTTGCGCCTTGGGTATCGCTGGTTTAAAGGATGCCCAGAGTCAAGCCTTCTCATGGGAGGTGGAGGGGTAGTGGTAGGTTCTTAGCCCTGTGTGCCCAGGGGTGATGGAACCTAATGGCTCCTGAATCCTCTTCCCAGAAAGGGAACCACCTATTGGCTCCCAGTGCCCGATTTTTCCAAGCTGTCATCAACCAAGTGAGTGATTGATTAACACCCTGTGTTGCATTAAGTACACAAACTTATAAATGCACAACGTTATGGGCTTTCCCAAAAGGAATGGTGACCCACTCAGTGAACCACATCATGGGGAAAGGGTGTGGGGGGAGATGGGCAACTGCATGGTGTCAAGTCTGGGAAAAAAACCCATTGCACTTCTCTGGAGGATGCACTTCTTGAGAGGATGGCATGGCTTTAGTGTGAAGGATGAAAGTGAAGCACTTGATCTTTTCCCCGTGCAGGTTAGGGTGTGACATGTATTCAACAGCAAACTGCTTACCAGACTCCAGTTTCAAGAGTCAGCACCATAAGTTACTTAGAATGTTCCTATGGTTAGACATCCTTGCAATCTGATTGGAAGGGCCATTCTGGGGGCAGCTTTCAGTGGCAAATAAGCAGGTAGTAGAAGAAGCCAAGTGAGTACTGGGAGCCAAATTCAAATGTGGTTTAACACAATCATAATAGCTAAAATGTAAAATAAACCTTGATATGTCAGTCACGGTTCTTAGCACTTTATATGTTAACCCAGGTAATGCTAGTAACCCTATTAGGTATGTACCTATAGTATTATCCCCATTGTACAGATGGGGAAACCAAGGTACCCAGCAGTTAAGTAATCTGCCCAAGAGTACACAGATATTAAGTGACAAAACTGGAATTTGAACCCAGGCAGTTTCCAGGGTTCAAGCTTTTAGCCACTGGAGGAGAGGAAACAGCTTTGTTTTTATCAGTCCAGTTTCCAAAGAGAGCAGTTGACAGGCCTCATTTTGGAGACACCTGGTATGGCTTACCTTGATGTTCCTTGGTTCTGTTTTTAATTCTGGCACCGTCAAAGGATACGCCTGAAGTGGAAGAACAGTTGCCTTTTAATTTTCCTCCTCTCAGCTGATTGTTGAAGTCAGTCCAGAATCTCAGTTGATGATGTCACAGCTGATAATTGTGCTTCACCCTCCAGGTTTGTGGCATCAGCACTAGGAACACCAACTCCAGGAGAGGAAGTGGAGGGCAGGGGGATTTCCACCCAGTTGTTGTAGCCCCGGGAAAGAGTTCTGTACTTTTGGCTGAGAGGAGGCCCAGACTGAACTCAAATAAATAAAGCTTCCTAGGAGAAAAGGCTGAAGCCCTAACCTGTACACCAAACCAGAATAAAGGTGGAAAAGTAGGTGCAAAATGCAACAAAACAAAAACATGTCTTCCATGCAGAGCTGGTGCCCAGCACAGTGAGGAAATTCTCCCCAGTTTTTCTAATTGCAAATAGAGCCCAGAACAGCAGCTGCCTCTCCCTGGTACCCTGAAAATGCAAAATGGCCAGAAATTGCTAGAAAACAGGTATCTCCATCTTACAACCAAAGGGCCATTTCTTATCTAGGGTCAGCACTCCTTGGGATTTTCTCTACAGGATGGTTTTTTGACCCCATGATTTGACCTCTTCCCTATCCCACCCCCAAACAATGCTTCTTAAGCCATGATAGTCAAGACAACAGGACTGTCTATGTGACAGACAACAAAGCTCCCTGGATGCTCAGAGCCAACGTGTCTCCCTCTGTACATTCTCTGGTCTCCAGGGAACTCTGGCAGGCGAGGTGACCATTCGCTTCCACTTAGGAACATGGATGCTCATTTTTTATACATGAAAACCAGGGGGTGGCTGCACTAAACAATGACTAGGCTGATTTATTAAGTCTCTTTAGACAAAGTGAAATGAATGTTTAGGAGAGGAGCAATGAATTACTTATGCCTGAAAGCTGGCTCAGAGGGAAGCGTAAACTGCTTAGGAGAGAAATGGAGAGATCCAAACCTTTGTTATATTAAAATTACCCCAAGGCCAGCAAGGTTACAGTTTACACAGCTGAAGACCAACTGGGGAATGGTTACATATGGGAGGGAGAGTTCTGGTTAGTATTCTTGTCCTGCTGGTCTTCTCTTTAAATTATATATTTATCATTGCTATGCCTGCTAATTATACAGCATGGGCACATGCATTTGACTCAGCTGTATGGGGCTCTTAAACTTCTAGTGTCTTCCAACCAGGAATTTAAGGGCCCTAATCCATCTACTCCCGTCCATTACTCAGAATGCTGGACAAATATGGTTTTGCTCAGCCCAAGATGGATGATAAAAGTTCTGTAGTGTTTATAAAACATGATCTCAGCTTCATAGAGCACCAGGAGTTGTATATTGTTGCTCATTTGGTATTGATGTCCCGGATCCTAGGGCAATGTCATTAAATGATGATATCTTCATGACTTCTTCATGGGAGGTAGAGAAACCACTTTAATGAGTAGTGTTTATAAACAGGGAGGTGGCAGAAAATAGAAACTTTTCCCTTCCCCTCCTTCTCTCTCTCCCTCCCCTGCCTCTGTCTGCCTGCCTGCCTCTCTTTCTTTCTTTCTCAAGAAACTCCTTATATTTGAGTTTGATGCTGAGCATCACTTCTGGTTTCTTCTTGGCCATTTTTCTTACTAGGCTTTCATGAGTGTCCATGGCATTCGAGAAAGTCCTCTTCAATTTCTAGAGTCACAAATTATAGGATATTGGTGAGAATATTCTTACTCCAAAGCAGGATGAAGGATGTACAGAAGGGTTGCTCTATCATAGTGGTAAAGAGCACAGACTCTGGAATCTGAGGGTTTGAAGCCCACCTCTGCCATTTATATGAGTGACCTTAACCATACTGAGCCTCAATTTTGTCATCTGAGAAATGAGGGATGATAATAGCACCTGGCTCATAGGTTGGTATGAGAATTAAGTGAGATAATAGATTTAAAGATTTTAGGACATAATAAACGCTCAATAAACAGCAGCAAGTCATTCAACAAATACATTTTAAGCACTGACCCTGTGCCCACTATTGTTAAGTGTTGTGGATTAAGTGGCAAATGAGGAAAAAGTTCTCTTCTCATGAAGTTATAATCCAATGGAGGAGACAAGAAAAAGTAAGCAATTAAGGATTTACTCTTTATGGTATGTTTATTTTTAAAGGAAAAAAAAGGACAGGATAATGGGATAATGTGGCTGGGGCTAATTTAAATGACTCTCAAGGTCATTAGGAATAGCCAAGAATATTGGTACTACCACTAAGGACCGTTAGGCCAAAAATAGTGCTGAGGACTTTTCCAAATCATTCAGTTATTTACCAGCTGAGGCAAGTCTCAACATCTCATTTGCAGCTGAGAAAAAAAAGGGCTGCATCTGGAGCAGGGATGAAAACTCTTCTCCTGATTGTAGGATTCATTTAGTGAGAAGCTGGTAGGATGGATTTCCACCGAGAGTCAACTGAAGGTGCAAGAGTTAATTGAGCTGCTCATCGCTATTTAATCAGCTTCCACACCTGCGTAGTGTAAGGAGGAGGGTAGCTTCCCTTCTCTTTGACCATTTTACCGAAGCCAACAGAGTTGGTAAAACTGAAACAAAGCAAGCTTTGAAAATGAAAACTGATTTTTTTCTCACATGCTGAGAAATGCAAACCCAGCTGTAAGTAGATAGCAGAACAAGGTAGAGTGGTTCCACTTCCTCCAGAAAGCTCTATCTGACCCCCCAGCATAACTGGAAGAGCCACCCTTCCTTGATGTTTCCACAGCACCCAGGGCATATTCTTGAATCATTTCTTGCTTGTGTCTGTTTTTCCCATCAAACTGAGCTCACAGGCATCATTGTCTCCCCTAAGCCTCATACAGTGTCTAACACGTAATAAGTGCTCCAGAAATGTCATCACTCAAATGATAGATAGCACCATGTAACCATGTTTAATTTCAAAATCTGCATTTGAATTCCTTTGACTCCTCAGAAGAACCTTCTCCCATTTCCACCAGGGCAGAGAATTTCAAGCTGTTGTTGATGAAACTGAGGAAGCATTTGGGGAGTACCCACACTGTAGAGATGTCATTCAACCTCATGATACCCTGATTTCTAGCAGGGTTCCCAAGGCTGGCCATGGTAAGAAGTGAGTTGGATGGATTTTCAGGTTGGGAGGATGCCTTCAGTGTGAGTACCCACAACAGAAGTCTGATGGGCGACAAGGAAGTCAAGAGGAGGATTGAGTTGAAAGTTTCCTAAAGAGAAGCAACACCAATCTCCCCCTTCCCAGCAGAGCTGCCCCAGAAGACAACCTCTGTTGATGACTTGCTCAGAAGAGGTTGCATCTGTGTCCCACCCCACCTGCCTCCAGTCTGATAACTGAACCCAGGTAATCAACTGCTGAGACATTCCTGGGATGCATAATAAACACCTAACGTTCTGAAACAGGCCAGAGACA